TTAAAATAAAGATTTCAATAGTAATTGAAATAATGATTTTAATAGTTGCTGACAATGATTTCAATACGAAAACCACATTGCAAGCCTTATTGAAATAACCCCATTATTGAAATAAAGTGCCCCACCACAGCATGATACGCCCATCAAATATTGTTCAATTGTCATAAACAGTTTAGAGTGCAACAAAATCATGTCAACCTTGATACAAGGATTTCAATGATTTTTCCATTCCTTATAATATTTGTTTATACATCTCCTGTGGTATAGGCATTAATTATAACAAATATTATAGATCCTCAACTGGTTGTGTTAGAGCTTCACAAATGCCCATCTGCCCCCCCCCCCCCCCCCAGCTTTCAGATTTGTGAGACATGATGCTCTGAATTAGTTGATATTTTCAAAACATTAAATAAAATTATCATATTAAACAATATCAATTTAGTCTTAACAACTTTATCTATATCAAATTAATATTAAAAACAAAAGGCTGGCCATCAAATGGCATATGCTATAAACTGACAAGCAGTTCTTCTGTAAAATTCCCAAAGGACACAGATAAGAGCTGCTTGATCAGAGATCTTCTAACAGAAATGACTGAGACAGCTAGCCTTCCTACACTGAACTCATTAATTAATCTTTAACTGGATGCATGTCCACTCATTAGTCCCAACAGATGAATGGATCTATACATACTATCTGCTTTGTAGTGCAATAAAAATGCATATTTATGTCATTCTGAAAATTAAATTTGAAAACAAAGATTTATAAAAAGATACAAAAAACTTGTGTAATCTTGATGCAACATTTTTAATAAGGTTCCTGCATTACTCTTAGATTTGTAGGGACTATCTACCATAATTAAAACATTTTTTTATAAATGCTTGATTATTTTTTTAGATTTAATGTCAGACTGGTTTTAAGCTGTAATTCATACGGACAACGGGCATGCTGATTCCAATATCCCCCCCACTCCTCCAAGTATCAAATTAATTTATTATACAATATCAAATAAGTTTTGAATCCTTTTCACCAAATTCATTTTAAAAGTTAGGCTAGCCAACTATTTAATGCAACATGGCTGATTCTTTTTGTCCAGTTCCCAAGAGATATAGATAACACCTCTTGATCAGAGATTCTCTACCAGTTAGCTCCTCACACTAATCTCATTAATTTCTCTCTAATTTGATGTGCAATTTTCTGTTATCAAATTTTCCTTGACCAGTGCTTGATAATTACACCCATGGGAGAGGTGGAATTTCTCTTGTAACATTACATAATAGTAGATTGCTGTAAAGTATATAATGAAAAAATAAGTATTTTCTTGATTTAACATTTTTTTTAATAAGGATACTGCAACACTCATTTTTTGGGATTGTGTAATCTAATAGTAAAAAGACAGTTTTTTTTTTAAATTTCACTTAAATTAAAGGTCACAGTGACCTTGAAATAGGTCGCAACACACCTTCTACCTAAGATGCATAAATTGGCCAAGTTTGATGATTCTAAGTCCAATAGTTTTCTAGTTATGAGCCGGACACGATTTTTCCATATTTGGCCATAGCATCTTCATTAAAGGTCAGAGCGACCTACTTTTAGTGCGTGACACACCTTCTATCCAAGAAGTATCAGCTGACTAAGTTTGATAATTCTAGGCCTAATAGTATTAAAGTTATGAGCCGAACACGAGGGAAAAAAAAAGCTAACAGACAGACAGATGGACAGACAGATGGACATGAACGCCATAATATAATACGTCCCGTCTAAAGACGGGCGTATAAAAAAAATAAAAAGATACAAATTCTCATTATCTCTTCCAACATAATAAATTAATTTATTGAGTTTAAAATATGATATGTAAATTTATATTTTAAATTTCCTTTCCTTTCTAGAAATTACCATTACACAGACATCTTTGATTTAACTGACGCACCTAAAATTAATACAAAGTATGCAAATGTTATATGCATCAAATATGTACATAATTATATGTGCATCAAATTGGTACCGTATATGATTAACATGCAAGCTTCTGCTGAATCTGGCCGACTCAGCAAAAACCAACAGACAATCAATCAATATATGCAAGTTTTAAATGATTTTGTTACATCTTAGCCATTGATTTGGAAAGGAAAGGATCATAAATACAGATAGTGGTAGAAATTAGAATATCTACATTAAAAACAAGAGGCCCATGGGCCACATCGCTCACCTGAGCACATTGGCTAGGCAAAAGCACAAATCAGTTCAGTATTGAAAAGATTACCCTGGGGGGGTTGGGGGGTGGGGGTTGGGGGGGGTTGGTTACTTGAGAAGATTTTCAAAAAATTTTCCCATATATTCCTTTGTAAAAATTTGATCCCCCATTGTGGTTCCTCCCTATCCCAGGGGTCATCATTTGAACTTGAATCTACACTACCTGAGGATGCTTCCATATCAATATGACTAACATAGCTTTCCTGTTCTTGAGAAGAAATATTTCTATATGTTCTTATGTAAAACTTTCGATCCCCCAATGGGCCCCACCCAACCCCTGGGGGTCATCATTTGAACAAAATTTTATCTACACTACCTGAGGATGCTTCCATATCAAAATGACAAATCATGGTTTGCAGTTCTTCAGAAGAAGATATTTTCCTATATATTTCTATTTAAGACTTTGTGGCCCCATCCTACCCACGGGGGTCATGATTTGAACAAAATAGAATCTACACTACCTGAGGATGCTTCCACATAAATATGATCAATCAGGGCTTTGCTGTTCCTGAGAAGATTTTTAAAATTTTTCCTATACATTTCTATGTAAAACTTTGATCCTCCATTGTGGCCCCATCCTACCCCCGGGGGTCATGATCTGAATAAATTTGAATCCACCCTACCTGAGGATGCTTCCATATAAATATGAACAATCTGGGCTTTGCTGTTCCTAAGAAGATTTTTCCTATATATTTCTATGTAAACTTTGATTCTCCATTGTGGCCCCGCCCTAACCCCGGGGGTCATGGTTTGAACAAATTTGAATCTACACTACCTGAGGATGCTTCCATATAAATATGACTCATCATGGCTTTGCTGTTCTTGAAAAGAAGATTTTTAAAGGTTTTTCCTATATATTTCTATGTAAAACTTTGATCCTCCATTGTGGCCCCGCCCTACCCCCAGGGGTCATGATTTGAACAAACTTGAATGTACACTACCTGAAGATGCTTCCACATGAGTTTCATCTTTCCTGGCCCTTTGGTTCTTGAGAAGAAGATTTTTAAATGATGCATTTATTTTTTCACTAATTCTTAATTATCTCCCCTTGAAAGAGGGTGTGGCCCTTCATTTGAACAAACTTGAATCCCCTTCACCCAAGGATACTTTGTGGCAAGTTTGGTTGAAATTGGCCCAGTGGTTCTGGAGAAGAAGAAGAAAATGTGAAAAGTTTACAACAACGACGACGCCAACGCCAACGACAGACAACGGACAAATTTTGATCAGAAAAGCTCACTTGAGCCTTTGGCTCAGGTGAGCTAATAAGAAAGAAGACTGATATCTATATCTATGTGTACAAACTGTCTGATGAAGATATGGTTATTTTTAATAAAAAAGAATATAGAATGGAACTAAATTCTCGTTAATATTCATGGGCTTACCTACACTACAAATACGGATAGTAAATCAAACGTCTACTCATCAAGATGTTAAAAATCAAAACTTCAAGGGAAATTAGTATAAGCATTATTACAATAGTGAGTGTTATTTCAATAGTGGTCACACATATAAAACTGCTACTGAAATAATTCTGCTATTGAAATTATTTCATTAGTGATCCTTAATTCAATAGTGGTTGCAATAATACTATTGCTATTGAAATAATATCTTCTATTAAATTTTTTTTAAATAGTGGTCCTTATTTCAATAGTGGTTGGAACAATGCAGCCACTTTTGAAATAACGACCACTACTGGAATAATTATTTCAATAGCGGTTTTATATGTGTAACTCTATTGAAATAACAACCTCTAATGTTATAAAGCTTATACTTAGTTTTCCGAAATGGTTGATTTTAATGTATTGACGAGTAGAAACATTGGATTTACTATCTATCCACATTTGAAGTGTTGGCAAACCCATGAATATAAGCGAGATTTTACTTCTTTTTCTATATCCTTTTGATTAAATATAACCATATTTTCATCAGAAAGTTTGTATAGATATCACATAGATCTTTTTTCTTCTTTTTAATGTACTGATATTCTAATTTCTACAACTATCTGTATTTACAACCTTTCCCCAATTAATAGCAAAGATGAACCTTATATACCAAAATTACTTAAAATTACTAGATCATTTAAATCACAGATATAAGTGTATAAACAGTATTTCTAGACAGAAATTGCATATATTTTAAACTCAAAAAATTAATTTATTATGTTAGAAAAGATAATGAAGAATTTATACCTAGTTTATATTTTTTTTCAATAGTGGGGTTATTTCAATAAGGCTTGCAATGTGGTTTTTGTATTGAAATCATTGTCAGCAACTATTAAAATCATTATTTCAATTACTGTTGAAATCATTATTTCATTCACTACTGAAATCTTTATTTTGGTTTTGAAATGCACTTCCAACCACTAGTGAAATACTGTATACAGGGTTATTTTCGCCCCATATTATTTTCGCCCTTTCACACTTGCAAACAATTTTGCCCCATTTTAATTTCGCCCAGTCACAGTTTTGTTTAAAAATTATACTGTTTTCTTTGAATTCGTTGAGTCTTAAATTCACCCACTTGCGTCTAGGGCGAAAGGGGCGAAAATAAAATGGGGGCGAAAATTTCCCTGTATACAGTAGTTATTTCAATAATGCTCATTATTTCAATAGTGTTTATAACCTGTGTTTGGTTTTGAAATGCACTCTCAACCACTACTGAAATAATTATTTCAATAGTGGTTGTTATTTCAATAGTGGTTGCAACACTGGGGCTTGAAAGGTTGGTGAAAAGCAAAATGAACTCACCTGTAATGGTCCAGGAAAATAGGGTCCTGGTCCTGAAGCAGCAGTTTGTTCTGCAAGTGAAGCAATCTTCTGAGTTTTATCATGCCACATTTCCTCAGTGGGACCAAACCTAAGACCCATATCAATTCCTTGTGGAAGTTTTGGCTCCATTACATCAGACTGTGGTGAATTTCCTACACTGTTTGTTTCTTCAGAGAAAGGAGATGAGCCAGTATCTTTAATGTACAAAACTTACTTTACTTCAGAGGCCTGTAATTGTTCATTTTATTGAAATGATTACTTTAAACGATCAGTTGTCAGAAACCCAAAGCGAACATAACTAATAAAAGATTACAGGGTGCACCTCAATAAATGTTATCTTAAGTAAGGCAAGTCCCTCTCTTAACTTACCGTATACACTCAACTATAAGTTGGTCCGCCTATAAGTCAGTTGTATTTTTTAATCTTAACTTACAGAGATTGACTCGCTAAAATATCAATCATGTATAAGTCGGATTAAGAGTTTTGGACCAAAGTTTAACTCCAAAAAAAACAGACTTATAGGCGAGAATATACGGTATAAGCTGGCAGCAAGTATCCCTAGATGCATCATTTATGCAATTTTGGTCTAACAGGACTTGCAGTTAATTGGGATTGGACTTACACTAAAAACTTTAACCTATAGTCACTCATCCAAAAAATGTTGGTCAAATTCAGCATCTGAAGCAAGTTTGAGAGTATTCATCCCTTGATGCATCATCCATGCAAGTTTAGTCTACACAAGATGAAACACTTCCTTTAAGCTTGGCTTAAAGACAGCTTATAGGTGCTTCATTATGGCTTAATGGTTATCTTCAATTCACCATTAAGAACTTTTAAAGTGACAGTACGGTGCATCTCATAAAAAAACTGACTAGATAAAATTTTCCGACAAGATTTGGAATTTTTTTACTACTCATAAATGTATAAACTTTCAGAAAATTACAACTTTTAAAATTAAATAATTTGGATTATTTCATTAAAATTAATAGTTATTTATGGGACGTAAATATATACATCGCAACGTGTTCGGGGTTCCACATTCCATGTTATGCACGCATGCGTAGTTTTCATAAACAGAACAGCATGGTTAGAGAGGGAATCCCGGTAGGCCTGCTACATTGACAAAGTCGACTAAAAATAAGAAGAAACTGAAAATAGAACTTGAAAAAGCAACTTTCCTGATTAAAATTTAGTTTGGGGATTAATATAATCGCTGGATGAGGAAGAAACGGGAACTCGGCGACACTCACGCAGGGCTCTCAAAGGTTCTATTTGACAGGTTTGTTGATACTTGTTATCATTTCTCATTTTCCGTCGCTTTCAAAGAAAAAAAATAGTGTAAACTCAACATAAAAAATACATCTTTGACTTATAAACATTGTTGCCATTTGAAATGCTAATTTTTTTAACTGTGCAGAAAAATATTTTGTTTGACATTTGCCGCGATAACGTATGATTAGTTGGTTTTTCCTTTCTCTGACCCCAATACATAAAACGTCTACATTTGTGCTTTTAACTCTGTTAAATTCGCCTGAATGCAAACTAAAATCTTTACAATTATTATTTAAGATTATGATAATTTGTGTTTTTGAAAATTGCTTTCACTTAATATTCATTATAACTGTAAACTCTACAGTGTAGGCACGTGCTGTTTTAGAGTTCACGTGGTACAAATAAACAGATCTAAAAGATTGCTCCAGTTTGTACAACCCTTGATTTTCCGGCAGATTCTAAATACGTTAATTTTGTTTGAGTAGAGAATATTTCTGTTTCTCAAACTGCTTACATCAACTTTATACCTTATTTCTTATTGACATATTGGGTAAATTTGGATGAAAAAGCACGCATTTTGCAGCCGTACTGTCGCTTTAAGCTATCTTTAAGTAATATATACACAATCATTAAGTTACCGTTAAGCCATCTCAAAGTCCTTAGTGGATGCTAAAAGGTAGCTTAATGGTGGCTCAAAGATGGCTTACATGTGCTTAATGATGGCTTTTAGACAATCTTTGTCTTCATTTAGCCATGCAACATTAAGTCAAACTTATAGGAGCTTAAAGTCCAAACTCCAATAAGCTACCTTTAAACCAATATGATTTCTTTCGTTTGAGGAATGAATTAGACAGAAATCATTTGTCTACTTCATGTTTTAATGAATTACTTGTTCGGAATAACATTCAAATTTTCATTCAAATACCTGGTTAATATCACATGGTTCTTAAGAACCGGTCTCGTTAGTAAGGCTATATAAGAGGTAAATAGTTGTTTAAATGCCAGTTTCGGACGACACGTAGAGCACAATAAAAGTTTAAATCTGGGAATGCAGAACGAAGTGGCCTCGGACGGGGCTCACGTCGACATGCTTTAAGCCATTGTAGATGATATGAATGAACAGAAATTGGACTTGGAGAGAGATTTGACCAGTTTAAGAGAGAATTACAGAGAGCAAGCCTGGAAACATTGTCATCAAAGAACAGCCTTCCTAGAATTTTTTTTTATAAGATAAGTATTCATTTGAGAATACAATTGATCAGTTTCTTGAATACTAGTAAGTAAAAAGTAGAGAACGAGGTTTGTAATAGAGAGAATTCGAAAATATTTAAACAAATTTTGAATTATGAGATTCATTGATTCTCGTCAGTACATTATTGATTTAATCCTTGATTGTTGTAAAATATTGATATTGTATTTTTGCCTCAGTAGTTATTTCCAGTAACAACTAGTTTGCTTTGCAGAAAGATGGGTTTGTCCAAGGAGCTAAGCTGATGTTACTAGAATTCAAAACAAAATACATTTTTAATAATGCTTTTTCTCTTACAGTTAATTTCAGTCGTAAAGAAGGCTTATATAAGATTTTGGGATTTTTAACAAGCATGATGATATAAGATTTGCACTTACAGATCCAGTTAATATTTTTTGTTTATCATTTAATGTCACAAGTGCATTAACGTCATTATAAAGTCATAATTCCTGGGTTCGTATGCATAAAAATTCTTAAGTCCTTAAGCATATTCTTAAGTACTAATTTCTTGCTTAGCAGATTGAAATTTTACTTAGCATATTGCATAAAACTTCTTAACTCTTAAGTATATTCTAAGTATATGCTTAAAGTTAAGTATGGTCTATACCTGTCTTAACTTTTTAAGCATATTGCTTAAGGCATTGTTTCAATATGGCTGGCATTCAAGTTGCGCGAAAGAAGAGGACATTCAAACCTAGACTGGACCCATTATCTACACTCACAGCTGCTGAGCTACAGGCAAGATTTAGATTTACTCATGAAGGAATAGAATTTATTACAGATTTAATTAGAGATGACATTACGCCTTCGACTGGTAGAAATTATAGTGTGCCAGCACATGTACAAGTTATGGTAACTTTAAGATATTTTGCAACTGGCAAAATGCAGTTATGCAGCGGTGACAATTTTGGACTGCATCAGTCTACCATTTCCAGAATTATTCAAAGAGTTACAACTGCTCTCGTACAGCCACACATTGTGAAACAGTTTATTTCTTTTCCAATGCAAGCAGAGACCATCAGGAAGCACCAGGCAGATTTTTTTGGTTTAGCTAAATTTCCAGGGGTAATAGGGGCCATTGATGGTACCCATATTAGAATTATTGCACCTAGTGAGCATGAAGTAGAGTTTGTAAACCGGAAAAATTTCCACAGTATCAACGTGCAGATTGTTTCAGATGCCCATCACAGAATTTTAGATCTTGTATCCACATGGCCAGGTGCAACACATGATGCTAGAATACTACGAGAGAGTGGGTTGTTTCAAATCTTTAACAGACGCCTCTTGCCCGTGAAATGCCATCTTCTAGGCGACAGTGGATATCCATTGAAAGATTGGTTATTAACCCCTTATCTGAACCCAGCAGATGGACCACAAACCCAGTATAATAGGTCTGAAATTAAGTAGATTACTGTATAAAGCATTTGTTGACTTCTGTTTTTATTATTGATTATTTTGTAAAATTCTTTTCAAATAATCGTTTTCACAATACGCAAGCATATTATAGTAACGGTTTAAAATATGACGTCATTTGATTGTTGCGTAGTTTTGTCAAAACCCAGCACCTGTGACACTAAAGTCATTCTGCAAAATAACGTAACCAAATAATTTCTATGTCTCTCTTTTACAAATTTCAAGACAGGTTTCTCATTTGTATTTGTGTTCCAAATTAATTTGCAAATAGTATTCAAGAAAAGTTTTTATCCCAATAGTTTCTAGTTTCGAGTCGGATAAAGAGGACCATTACATCTCCGATTTAACAAATTGAACAATACAAAAATAGTTGATGCATAACAACAAACAAATAAAGGAACATTTTGGCATTTAAATGATATATATAAATATATTCATTAATTTGGAAGTGAAACACTTCATGATTAATACTTCCAAATAAAATTTAATTATGCCGAGACTTTCGTAATGATATTTCCACTGTAATTTTACCTTGACATTAATTCTTTTTCCCCATGTACACTTAATATCTTTCAGAGAAAAAATTTGTTTGTTCAAATGGCTTTTTTTGTCTCTGTCATAGAATGACTGCAATCAGTGTAATCGGAAGTGCAGTGGGATGTAATATACTCGTTATTTTAATTTTTATTTTGAGCCACATGTATCCCATATTTCACGTAATCTTAAATAAGAAAAATAAAATGACTAATAAAATATAAGTACCTTAAAACTTATTAAGTAATGGAGAGAGAGGGGGTGTGGGCATAGGTACTAACGACCTAGTATTCAGAAATCGCGCAAATTTTTACACATGTAATTGTATACGCGAAAACGAAAAGAAACTTTAATTCTAGTAAGAAAATTGTACATTATATTATGACATTTTTTTCCTTGAAAATCACTTCAATTAAAAAAACAAATAATTTAATTCCTTCCCCTGTTCTAAGGTCACACAAGTGCACTCGCACAGTTGTAGAAAGAACAATTGGGCAACTAAAAAGAAGGTTCCATATTTTACATGTGGAAATTCGACAGAGTCCAGAGAGAGTAAGCAAAATTATCACGGCCTGCAGAGTTCTCCATAATATTGCCAAATCGCTTAACATCCCCCTTCCACAAGAAGAAGGAGAAGACGAAGACAATGTTGATCAGTATATCGTTGCTGCCTTTCAGAACGCCGATGGACGTGTATATAGAAACCACATTGTTTCAACGCATTTCACGTAAATGTATGTCATTTTATTTATTTTCAATTATGTAGAATTGATTTATTGAGGGATAAATAACAAATTCAGGGATATAGAAAAAACATCCAAGTAAAATACTTTATTACATTTTCAACAGTGAAATACTGTGATTTATTTATTGAATAAAAGTGATATTCTCTCACAGTGTGAAAGGATACCAAAATGATATTCTCTCACAGTGTGAAAGGATATCAAAGTAAGTAAAAAATAATTTCTGGCCTGTCCTAAGCATCTTGATAGAGCTATTTAAAACTGCAAATTTCTTCATAAATATGTTGCTAAAATCCATGCTATGTAATGTTTTCAATCACACAACTGCTAAACTATGACATCTCAACCGCTCAACTAGCTATGACGTCAAGCCTATGACACTGTGTTAAGAAAAGACAGAGGCAAAGGGAAAATCCAAAAGAAAATGTAATAAACAGAAAATTCAATGTTTTGTAGATGAATATGGAATTTTTTTCACTCGTGAGACAGGATTTTTTGATATTTTCACTCGTGCTTCGCACTCGTGAAAATATAAAAAAAATCCTGTCCCACTCGTGAAATAAATTCCACATTCATCTACAAAACATTGAATATCCTCTATTTTAACTACTGTGGTTTCAATGTTGTATGATACTGACTACTTTTCAGAGAGTTCTAATTCTTTTTCTAGCTTTTTTATTTGTAATTTTAAAAGTTCATTTTGGAGCCTAATATGTTCAACATCATGTTCCATTCTCTTTTCTTGCAGTGCAGTTATATGCAAACATCTCTCACATGACGGGATAGCTAGAAGGCCCAACTCCTGCGTTTTCGTACTGCAGTGATCACCGCTTTCTTTGGTACATGTGATCATGAAGTCGGTCACCTGTGGACTTAAAATATTAAAAGATTATAAGCAATATATTTTTTTCATAATATTAAAATGAAGGGCAACGAAACACTCAAAACTTGTCGTAATTGCATTCTGATATCGGAACAAACGTACCTCTTGCTGGTTGTCTGGTGTGGGTCAGCATCCAGTAACAGGTACGTGGTATCTATGGCTCCAGGAATTCCTGAGATACTCACATTGTCTGTGCCAATGACATTTCCCACTGCTTCTGCAAGAGGTGTTATTTGGCTCCCTGCTGGTCCTCCCCCTGTTAGATGCAAATCATCTAATTTCAATTAAAAAAAAAAAGAAGACAAAAAAACAACAACAACAACAACAACAACAACAACAAAAACACTACAGAGATAATAAAAAGTGACTAGAAGCATATCTTTTGAAATGTTTGTCGGACGTCTTCATAAATGTAATAATAATTAAGAGATTTGTAATATAGGCACAAGCATTGTTTTTAAGTGAGGAGGACAAATCACACAATATTTTGTTTGAAAAAAAAAGTATAAGATCGATAGAAATCATTATTAGTAAACAAACTTTAGAATTTATTAGTTAATAATTACAGCTGAGCGGATTTTTTATCTGTACAGTTATGCTATAATTATTCATGGCCGTAGGAACCGGGGGGGGGGGGGGGGGGGGGGGGGTTGCCCCCTCCCCCCCCCAATAATTTTGCCGATATAAAGATTACTATATATATATAAAAAAAAAAGCTACTATATGCCTGTGCGCCCTCAATAAATTTTATACGTCTGATGACCTTTTTTTTTCTGGCTTGTCAAGAAATTTTTGGTAGTTGATAGTGCCCCCTCAACTGAAAATGTATGGCTGTGCCCCTCCAAACTGAAATTGCTTCCTACGGGCCTGTTATTTTACGTGTATTTATAGTGTTTTGGGATTAAACGGTTGCGAAAATAAACATTGATCCACTCCTTTTGGGAGATATGACGTCAAATTACGAAAGCAGCGACGCCACGCTGTAAACTTTTCAAAAATATTGCAGTTTCATACACGTTCTCAGTTAGCCTACTTCTTTTCATGTGATTGTTGGATTTAGATTCTTCGAATAACTAGAAACACAAATGAAAACTCCTCCTGTCAACACTGTACAAGAAAGTATATAGGCCTACATACATGTATACCGCGCCGAACATGCATGTATAGACCTACATACATGCAAATTCTAGGGAGTATAGCAGCTGGTGCATGTATTGTAAGTATGTATAATATTACTTATTATGTTTGATATTATCAGCAAAGTGTGCATTACAACTCATAGCCTTTAACAAGATGTTTCAGTTAAGCAATATGTGCATGACAATGATATGTGATTCACTCTGACCATAACTCAAAGGGAGAAAACTCGAACTGTGTAGACCTACCCGTTTGTTTGATACTCCGTCGTGCATCAGCCAATTCAGCCTTTCCTTTCATTTGAATGTTGTGCCACTTTTTCTCTACCTCCTCCACAGTTCGCAATGTAGAGGAGGTAGAGTTTATCTTGTCAGTTATGTGTCGCCACGCCTCTCTTTTCTTTATAGTTGTGACGCCCGCGCCGAACTTGGCTCGCAGAACCTCTTTCTTTTCTTCGACCAGGCGACTTAAATAGAGGCACTCATCGGTCGTCCAGTTAGGTTTTCTTTTCTTCGCCCCGTTACCTTCTTCGGCCATATGTACAGTCTATACCTTCTTGCTTTGACAGTTTTGTTTGAGCAGACGATAATCTAAACACGTCATCGATATCAAACAAAATATTGTGATCATATTGATCAAGATATAAAAAATTAGTTATAACAGGAATGTGAATCCTAAAATTAATATGAATTACATTTTTTTTAATAATTTTATTTCTTTGTTTCTCCACCATGACGTGTTTATTTACATGAAAGTGAAAGCGGAAGTAACTTTATTGACATGGCAACGGTGTACTTAGGCAGATTACGATATGCTTAGCTAAGAATCACTAACCATGTTGCTTAGAAGTTTTATGCAACGGAACTTAAGCATCTTACTTAGCTAAGAATACGCTTAAGAAATTTAAGAATATACTTAAGAAAATTCTTAGAATTTTTATGCATACGAATCCTGAGCATAAAAAATATCAAGGATTCACTGGAAACTTTCAATTGTTTTTCAATTTCAGTTTCTTACCTTTCGGTCAAATGTGCTACTAGACTTAAAAGTTTTAAGTTATGTCATAGAGAAGGCAAAATATCCTTATGTATTAAGGCATTTCAGTGTTGGGTTTGGTATCGTGATGAGTATATAATGAAATACAAGTAGGTACTTGAAGACCTGTAGAGAAGTTCTTTGCGATTTGTGCTAATTACATATTGACTTTATAGAAGAAAATGAGTTTTACTTGTGCTAAACGCAGGACTGGCACTGTCTTGCAGAAAGAGAATAAAAAGTTTAGAATGCTTGCATTTGCTTTTCACTATGAGTTTATTTAAGTCCTATTTGAATTATGATTAATACTGTTTACCGGAACTGAAATTTATTAAATTACAATTTAGGCCTAAGCCTGTTTTTGACTAATTTTGATACATTAATACATATGATTTGATGGAAGTTTAAAACACTTTATTTATGGTGGTGTCATTTGGCGAGATTGATTTCAATAGAAGAGTTCCACATGTATGGTTAACTCGTATCTGGTATCAGTTTGATAAGAGAAAAATTAAAGAATGTATAATGTTTCTGATTTTAAGTTTAAATTATTATTTCTAACAGTATTATCCCTAATTTTTTATTGCTCTACATTTCATAAGCATGTTTGAGCAGTGTCATATTTTGGCGACAAATGACCTGATTTTGAAGAATTTTGAATAATATGTTAATATAAAAATATACATATGTATGTTCAT